TCTATCTATCTATCATTCATATCTATCTATCTATCATCTATCTCATCTATCTATCTATTATCTATCTATCTGTCTATGTCATCTCATGTTCATTATTTCTATTTATCTGTCTGTTCATTATCTATCTATCTATCTATCTATCTATCTATCTATCTATCTATTCAGTCATATATATTATTTCTATATGTTTGTATTCTCTGTATCTATCTATCTATCTATCTTATCTATCTAATCTATCTATCCTGTCTTATCTAGTCTGTTCATTATTTTCTATCTATCTATTTTTAGTTCTATCTTTTCTATCTAAATTATTTATCTATTGATCTCTCATTATCTTTATCTATCTATCTATCTTTCCTATTTTTCCCATTATCTATCTATCTATTTATCAGTCTGTTCATTATCTATCTATCTATCTATCTATCTATCTATCTATCTGTCTGTTCATCTCATCTATTGATCTCTCCATATGTTTGTATTTTCAGTATCTTTCATTATCTATCTATCTATCTACCTATTCATCTGTTGTCTATCTCAGTCTGTTCATTATCTATCTATCCATCTATTTTTCAGTCTGTTCATTAATCTATCTTTTATTTCTATTCTATTTCTATCTATCTTTGTTTATCTATCTATTTTCTATATATGTTTTGTATTTTTTTATCTATCTATTTCTATCTCCGTTCTATCTTCTGTCTGTCTGTCTATCTCAGTCTGTTCATTATTATCTATCTATCTATTTATCTCAGTCTGTTCATTTCTTTCTATTATCTATCTATCTCAGTCTGTTGATCATCTATTCTATATGTTTGTATTCTCTCAGTATTCATCTATCTATCTATCTATCTATCTATCTATCTATCTATCTGTCTGTCTGTCTATGTCAATGTTTTCCTATCTGTCGATGTATCTCATTCAGTTCATATATATTTTTCTGTCTGCTTTCTTCAAATTCTATCCTGTTTCTTAATCTTTTCTCCTGTTTAGTTCTACTCTAAATTATTTTCGCTCATATCTTTTCCTCTTTCCTTTTTCCCCTCTTCTTCCTCTTCACACCTCATCTCCCTTCGTCTCATCAACTGTTCAAGTCTCGTCTTTTTGAAAACTATTTTTATTTCATTCATTTTCTATTTGTTTCTTCTCCCTTTTTTAATCTCTTTTCCTCCGTTCACTTCTACTACAGGTTGCTTTTCTTTCTTTTCCTTGTGACAGATTCGCGGCCTTTTCCCCATTCTTCGTCCAAGTCCATTTCCTTTCTCCTGTCGCCCATTATTTAAAAAAAATACTTTCATTATCCTCTCGTTAGATAGATAGATAGATAGGAATAGATAGATAGATAGATAGATCTCCTGTTTTATTTAAAAAAAAAATACTTTCATTAGATAGATAGATACAGATAGATAGATAGATAGATAGATAGATAGATAGATAGAATAAGAACAGATGAGATAGATATAGATAGACTGAGATAGATAGATACATACATGCATCCTAAGAACCAAATGCATCCCTAACACAAATAACACACAAAACACTAAACAGAGACTCATCCCCTCTCCAGGACCAATAAAACTGTCAAACTGACCAGAGAATTCAGAGCAACATGTATCTATCCAGCTCTTATCTCAAATAACAATTTAAAAGAGACTGTTTGACCAAAACAAGGAATGTTAAAAGGTTCATGTGAAAAAGATAAAAAAATAAAAAAACAAATGAAAACTACAGACAAAAGTTCATTTTCTCCATCAAGACATTCATTTCTGTGGTTCACTGCTACCAGCAAGCAGAAATATTTCTTCTCCTGATGATGGCCATTTCGGTCGAAACTAGTCGAGAAATCTAAATGGAATAATAATAAAAAAACGAAAGAATATTAATCTACAATACAGTGTGTCTAAAGATTTTAATTTTTTATTTTCTTATTGTTCAATATATATATATATATATATATATATATATATATATATATATATATTAAAATATAATATTAAGATGTGGTATATTTAAGGGATAATATGCTCAATATCAGATGTATGTAAATGTAAAAAAAAGTGAACATTGAAGTCAAGACTTAGAGGCTATGTATATCAATATATAGTGTACATATATATATATATATATATATATATATATATATATATATATATATATATATATAAAAGTATATAATTGGTGTATACGGAATGAATTCCAATAACCAACAATTACTATCCTTAAAAGAGTTCAACATCATCACTTGATAAGACACCGAAGATACTGAAACAAAATGGCTATTTTTGTAGTGGTTTTATAACATATTTATGTTATAATTTTTTAAATAATTATATATATATATATATATAAATATATATATATATACGTAGAGGCTATATATATCAATATATATCAATATATATCAATAGATAGATAGATATACTTACGATATCCATGACATAAATGTAATATATAAATGTGGCCTTGTGAAAAGACAAATTGAAATAGCCAAAGAAAAATTGAACACCCTTAACAGCAAAAAACACGATATCCATGATAATCTAAAAGATATAACTACACCGGACCAAATGGAGGAAATTACACATAGACTTACGGAAATTACCAATAAATCTGAAGCTCAAAACTGATTTAAAATTATAAAAAATCTGAATACATTATACTCTTCTTAACAAAATTGATAAATTCATTAACCTTTCCAACTATTAACTAAGCACCAAAAAGAATTGCTTAACCTTGGATCTAACTGTCATATATACCGTAAGTATATATACATAAAGCAGTTGAAACCTAACCTGAACAAAATAAACTATGAAACCTCCACAAATATTCTTAAATGTCTATAATTGATAATAGAAGCCATTGGTTTATACCAACGGATTCTCATACTTAAAACTTCTCGTTTTCACTCAAGCGTGGTCATGTGTAACATCATGAGCTGCGGTGCGATTTTTTCTTCCAGCGTCTCGTATGAACGATTTTGGTTTGATTTTTTATAGTCTAACTAATATTTTGGTCAAAATGGTTTGTGTTGAAGCTTGGATAAGCATGGAATAATAATAATACAACACAAAATGTACGTAAACAAAATGTATTGAAACAAGGAAAAGGTACACAATATTTACAGTTAGTTTTGGTATATTCTTGGGAAGACTGTTCCTGTAGAATGGGTTGACTTAATCGCAGTCGGGTAGAGTCTCTGGATTGGATCTCTTGTTCCTTCCCCCCGTCTTCCCGGTACCAACCCATATTTATATGGGCGGTACTCCATTATGTAAATTAGGTGGATCGTACCACAACAGTTTGTTAATTTGTTTATTATTTACTTTATGTATTTGGGTTCATTGATTTTGTTTTTTTATTTTTTCTATTTCGTCTACTCTAACGGGTGTGATTTGGTAATTTATTTGGGCTAATTTAATTTGTTTATTTTATTGTCATTTTGTTTATCTATTTATTTATTTATTTATTTATTTATTTCTCAGTTTTCGATTTTTAAGTAACGTAGTAAAAATTTGTTTTCATATTGGCATTTTGAGATTTAATAATTTATTTTGGTCTGGGAAGGTAATGATAGCTATTTTTTCCTCCAAGCAAAGTTTGCAAGTTTTGGATTGGTTGTTGTTGTTGACTGATGATCTATTCCTTATTTTCCAAGATATTTTTGGTGTGATGTGCGTATTGTTTGTAATTTCCCAGATATACTTAGAAAGCATTGTGCTGTTCGCGTGTTTACTATTTGTGAAAGATGTTTCTGTGCATAATTTCTTTGTTTCCAGGGTCCTTCAGTTACTCCTATGTATACTTTTTCTTCATTATCTGGTGATTTTATTGTGGCTTTGTATATTACGTTGTTTTGTAAGCAATTGCCGTTTAAGTGACATTCGTTCTTTATTCTGCAGTTACACGTGGGTTTAATTTGTTCATGTGATTTGTTGATAGTTTTCCTTTTGTGCTTTTTTATTATTTGTGCCATGTTCTAGGTGCAACTATAGCTGATTTTTACTGTATTTTTGTTGAATATTTTTTGTAGGGTGCTTGATTCCGGGAAGTGTTTGTTTAAGAGTTTGAAGAATATTTTTCTTCCGTTTGTTTTTACGTTTTTGGATATATTGTCGATATATTATATTTTTTAGTTTAGCGCCTTGTTTTTTTGTTTGTTTTTTTTATTTATTTATTTTGTCGACTGTACAATTTTGTAGGGTCAGTTAGGGGGAAAAATACCACCATGACGCAATTCACCCCGCCAGATATTTGGAAACGGCATGCTGTAATTCTTGGCATTCGCGCCGGAATCTTCAATACGAACATTTCAAAGTATTTGGGTGGAAATCTGAGGACATTATAGAGGATTCCGAAAGAGTTGGATGAGTCTAATGGTGATTACGAAGGTGTTTGGAGTGATCCATTTATCTCCATTTATCTTCCCACTGGCACTCAGCCTCAACAAGGAGGTTTTCATAATATGCCCTGAGGAGGTACTGCTGCCCTGGGTCAAGAGGGTGGCTGCTGAAAGACGCCGTGTCTAGCAACAACTCTGCAGCATGCCACGCAAGCAGGAGAACCCAGTCATGGTTTTCAGATAATTTCTGCGACGCCTAACATCTGGTCACCTAACTCCCAATATTGTGACCACCTTGATTATTATGCGTGGTGTGTAATTGAGCGGGAGACCGACAAAACTCGTTTTAACACTAAAGATGAACTGAAGACAAGGATTACGGTTATTAAACAAGGAGACCGTCCAGAAAAGATGCAGGAGTTTCCGAAGTCGTCTAGAAGCACTAGTTGAGGCCAAAAGCAATTTTATTGAATAAATTTTCTCTTCAGTATTCCAAGATATTTTTTGTAAATATATCTATTAAAATGAGATGCCAGTGTTATTTTGATTTTGCATAAATTAGACGACAATTTATCCCACGCACCTAATACATACTTTCACACACACACATATATATATATATATATATATATATATATATATATATATATATATATATATATAGTTAATTGTCCACAGAATTCATCTGGGAATTTAACTATATTGTCGACATGGAAAAAATAATAATAATAATAATCCCTTACTATAAAGGTAATTTACATTAACCAGAAAAAAGGCTTAGACAGAAGCGTCTATCTTTTTAAATTTGGATTTTTTAATGTAACTATAACAACAAAAACATTTCGATTTCATTTTTGCCTTGAAAAAGTCGGAAGACGAAACGCGTCGGCAAAATGTAAGATTTTTTCCACATATATATATATATATATATATATATATATAAACTCCCTTTAATACCAACGATGAACTGATGGCAAGAATTATGGCAGCATTCACCAATTTAAACAAGGAAACTGTTGCAGGAGATTCCGAAGTCGTCTCTAGGCCGTGGTTGAAGCCAATGACGATTTTATTGAATAAATTTACACTTTAGTATTTCAAGATATTTTGGTAAATATTTCTGTTAAAAAGAGACGGTGTTATTTTCATTCATGTTTGAATGAATAAAAATTATGGATTAAAAATATATATATATATATATGTATATATATATAATTCATGCCAAAGCCAAGATACTTTTCTCTCATCCCCTACACCTCTAAATATGGAATTACTTGTTATTATCGTTCTTATTGTTATATAGTTTCGATTTTTTCGTCTTTTCCGATTGGTTATCTGCCTTGTTCGCAAGGACAATTTTAAAAAAGGAAAACCTATTTTCTGTTTCTTTGAGGAGCTATAAAATTCCATAAGGACAAAAATGCCCTTAGGAATAACGAATATGCGTGGGTGATCTCTGAAATAGTATATATAATAAGGAGACAAGATACGACTCGATATTTAGCGGGTACAGTTGGAACTAGATAGATAGATAGATAGATAGATAGATAGATAGATAGATAGATAGATAATGAAGAGAACAAAGAAAGAAAGAAAGAAAGAAAGAAAGAAAGAAAGAGGAAGATTGATAATAAGAAATGGGTGATAGGCAAAAACAAGAAATGAAAAAAATAAAGAAAGAAAGAGAGAGATTGACAATGAGAAAGGAACAATGTGTGATAAATAAAAACAAGAACGAGATAGATAGATAGATAGATAGATAGATAGATAGAAAAGAAAGAAAGAAAGAAAGAAAGAAAGAAAGAAAGAAAAGATTGATAATGAGAAATGGGTGATAATCAAAAACAAGAAATGATAAGAAAGAAAGAAAGAAAGAAAGAAAGAAAGAAAGAAAGAATTAATGAATGAATGAATGAAAGAGAGATTGACTATGAGAATGGAACAATGCGTGATAGATAACATGTACAAGATAGATAGATAGATAGATAGATAGATAGATAGATAGATATTAAACAGAACAAATGAGAAAGAAAGAAACAAACAAACAAATAAAGAAAGCGATAATGGGTGATAGGGAAAAACATGAAAAGAAAGAAAAGAAAGAAAGAAAGAAAGAAAGAAAGAAAGAAAGAAAGAAAGAAAGAGAGCAATTGATAATGAGAATGGAACAATTCTTGATAGATAAAAACAAGAACGATAGATAGATAGATAGATAGATAGATAGATAGATAGATAGATAGATATACCTGATAGATTTAAATGAAAAAAAAACTCCATAAAAGATTTACAAAAAATATATATCTCATTTAAAGAAATATATTATTCTGTTCGGAACAAGTAATGGGAAGTTGGACCCGCCTCTTCTCTCCTTAATTCGATCCCTCCCTCCATATAGACCAAAAATACATTGTGATCCATCCCTACACATAGACCAGAAAGACATTGCAGCACAGTACAGTAGACTTTTGATAGAATTAGGTCCTTTACCGCCTTACAGCCGCTGCCATTGATTCACTGGAAGATCGCGTGCAACCTGAAGAAAACGTCACTTTTTCTTTTTCGCATTCGAGAAAGCCACCAACCGCCAAACCCTTTTCAAGACCCCCATGCCATCCATCCTCCGTTTTCTAGCAGAGCCCCAACCGGGCGTTCTGTTCACCAAGCGGTCGAGAATTGGGAAGTCTTTACAGGGATGGGAGGCGGAATACGCTCGGTTGAAAATTGATGAATATTGGGTGGGTCTGTCATGCGAGAAATTTCCGGCAAGGAAAATTGCTACCAACCCGCCACTCGCCACCCGGTCCATTGCCTTTTTTTTTTTTTTTTTATTGACTTTTACTCCTTCATCTTTGCTTCTTCTTCTTCTTCTTCTTCTTCTTCTTCTTCTTCTTCTTCTTCTTCTTATAGACAATCATCATCAATTGACAATTTTTCTTTCTTTCTTTCTTTCTTTCTTTCTCATCCATTGTCAATATTTCTTACTCCCTTCCTTCCTTCCTTCCTTCCTGCCTTCCTTCCTTCCTTTCTTCCTTCCTTGCTTGCTTGCTTTTCTTTCTTTCTTTCTTTCTTTCTTATTTTCTTTTCCTTGCGTATTTCTTCTTGTCGTCGTATTTTCTTCTTCTTCTTCTTCTTCTTCTTCTTCTTCTATAGTATAGAAAGAAACAAAG